ATCATCCGACTGATGATCATTTACCAAATAAGGTAAGATCATCGATGACCAAATTTGGTATATTCCCAGACTGTAGTATAGAAAGTCTTAAATAGCTAATGTTTTAATTTTATATATGCAGTATAACCTAAATTAACCAATCAGATTGCTAGAATAGATAATACAAACTAAATTAAAAAAATTTAAAAAATTTTATTTTTTTAAAGCTAAATTTTGATTAATCAAAAAAAAATTTATAATAAAAATCTAAGTTTTTGATTGGTCCAAATTAACAATCATATACATTTCAATTTTTATTTTTAATATAAAAATAATCTAATCTAAATTTAAAAGCTATTAACTCTTTATAGAGATTATATTTTTAAAATCTGACTAGCAATTTTATAAAGCTTGTTTTGAAAAACAAAATTACTGGTTTAGTTTTTTAAAATTTTGATTTTTTAAGAAGTTAATAGATTTTAAAGTTCATCTATTATATTGGTGAGTTAAGACTTCCTGCACCATATATAAATGCATTTTATATATTCGAATTGAATGTAATTTGACTAGAATAATTAGATAAATTCCAATAAGTTTGAATAAATATAAATTATAAAAAACTTCAATTATTTAGTAATCTCGTAATCTCGTGATTCTGTTATAGTGTTCCTAGTTGGCAAAATTTTTGCCAGTCGATTAGTTGCCAACTATAGTTGCAACTAATCGATTTTTCATATCATGTGACTAAATTACCGATTAACCAATCAAACTAAAGAAATCTACACGGATCATCCCGACTAGACGGAATATCTCGGAATTGAACGAGTTGATAATTAAATCGATTAGTTGTTTTAAATTTTTCTAAATCGACTAGTTGAAAAGTTGTCAACTAGTTGATTTTCAACTAAACGATTCGGATCACTATTCTGTTATTCTTGTGCAATTTAAAAAGCGATTACGTATATAATAGGTGCATTCTACAAAGAAGTTTGACTGTATTTCAAAAATTGCAATAATTATACAGTATATATCTATATACTGTATTTACTATTTTTCGCATCTCAAAGGTATAACAAGGTATAACTATAAGGAGGTTTTGGCTATATATAAATTTCTTTTTGTTTTGGCACAAAAATTTTTTTCTAAAAACTTTTAAAAATTACTATTTATACTTTCTATTTTGTTTCTACACATGTAAAAAATTATTTTAATCAAATGCTTTATATAAAGAGAGTATTCAAACTTTTTTATGTTAAAATATAACATTTTTTGCCGGCTATTTGCTTTTTCCATGCAACGAGAACCAATTAATTTACTTTGCGTGGCTTTATAAACAAAATTATATACTTTGCTTTATATGTTAGTGTATAAATAAAATTAGGTTGAGATCTCAATAAAAAGTTATAAATGTGCTATTTAGAGATGCCTATGTGCATTATTTCGTGCTATTCCGGGACGCACATAAGCGTTATTTTACAGCTATTTTCATAATTCCTGGAACACCTAATAAAAATTGACCGAATGATGTTCCGGCCGATTCAATTAAGTTTGTGATTTCGGTATAATTGATTCAAATTGATATAATTTAAAACGTATGTATTATGAGACTAGCACATATAATACGTAAAATTGTGATATAACTGTCGTGGCACCCGACTAAAAGTTGGAACTTCAGGTGCTTGAAGTTGCACTAACTAAAATTAACCCCTGAAATTAGATCATCTTGAAAGCACTAACGGTTTTAGGCAGGTGCCAACTTCAGGCAGATGCCAACTTCAGGCACATAACCACTACGAATAATAAAAATATATTGCGCAGCACAATCAAATACAAATACAAAATGATCAATTTTATCATTTCATAAGCGATTTAATGACGGTTTCATAAGCAATTTATAAAATTCATACAATTCAATTTTATTATATTTTTAAGATTTAATGCCAGTAATTTCGCATCGCATAAATGAGGATCAAATTATTTATTTTTAATAATCGCAAAAATCCAAAAAAGCAATTTTCGCAATAACGTTTACAAATGTTATTTCGTGGTTATTCGGTAAGTTAAAAATTTTTTTATTGAGTAGATACGAGTTAAAAAAAAAAAAACCAGTAAATTGGAAGTCTAAGTTGTTTGCACATATGATCTGTGAAAACCTGTAATCGTGCTTTTGGAATATTCACTTTTAATAATAAATATTTTAATAAAATCATATAACAATTATTATTTTTGAGTCACCTTAATATGACGAATAACATTAAAATTAAATATTCAATTACTTTGCTTTTTAAGATTTCTATTAAAAATAATAAATATCCAAAAAGCATAATTTACAGGTTTTTTACAGATCATCACTCATATTTTAAATGAAGGTATAATTTTTTTTATAATGTTTTATGATTCACCATTGTGTAATTTTGGAATGATATTTCTAATAGTGTATAACTGAACAATATACATTTTAGAGATAAAATTGGGTTTGTGCTTATCGTTATCAGACATAGCACTGAGTTAGGATTCATTGATGTCATGATGATGCCTTATACTATCTATTAAAATTGCCTATCGTACACAGGCATTAAAAAAAAAAAAAAAATGAAATTTAAAATAGCAAAGAATATTTCATTCTCGACAATAATTGCATTTCTTATTATTCTTGGATTTATAATTGCAGCGATTGTCTCGATAGTAATCTTTCGTGAAAAAAATTGGCTAAAATTCAATATTGTGGGTTTTGGTGATTCTTTAACAGATAATGGAAATCAATGGAGAGTTACCGATGGAGAAATGCCACCCGCTAGTTTGTATTATAAAGGTATTATTGGTGTCATTTTTTGAAGATGCTGAGAATCTTGAGAATTATCTTTTTTTTTTTTGATTATAGGAAGGTGGTCAAATGGTCCAATATGGGTAGATTTTGTGGAATCTATCTTAAATGCGAAATTGACAAATCGAGCTTTTGGTGGTGCAACAACCAATAAGTCATTGATCTCTCGGTGTTTCTTTGATAATACTAATGTGCCTTCTGTACAAGAACAAGGTATCTTGCATACTTTTTAAATTTATTTGTTAGACCGAATTATTAATAATTTTCAATATTATGTTCTTTGAAGTTGAAGAAATGTCGGCAAACGTATCTAGCTTTCCTCCTCAAACTACATTTGTTATTTGGACTGGTGTCTGTGACTATATGGTAATGCATTTATATATGAATTATATGAAGGCCGATACTCAAGGTTTTTTTTTTTTTACACAACCAGACAATATTTGAAAGGAATCTTACTATCATATCTGAAGACATAATATCATCGATTCATAACTCTATAAATCTTCTTATATCAACAGGAGTTCGTAAATTTTTACTTTTAAACTTGCCACCAATAAACCGTGCACCGCGATATACAAATTACACTAATCTTACAATCCTACAAAATCTCATCGAAACCCATAACGTTCTATTAAATCAAACAGTTATTGACATAAAAAAACAACAGCGAATTCAGGCTGGTGTTTTTGACGTTTGGGGATTAATCGAATATGTTATACAAGATCCACAAAAATATGGTTTCTCAAATGTCGTGGATTCTTGCATACAACCAAATTCAAATAATACTTGTGGGAATCCTGATGAATATTTGTGGTGGGATAATATTCATCCTACAACCGTAGCACATAGTTTGTTAGCGATGGGAATTGTTACTTATCTGAAATCACCCGATGGAACTTGCCTGTATTTAACAAATTGTGGATTATAACAATTCATAGAAAGAAAGAAAATTTAGCATTTTTTTTTTTGTTTTGCCTCCCATTACTTTCACGTTATTAATTAAATTTATGGATAGTCACATAATTTGTAAGATAATCTTAAATTTTTCTATTTAAAAATTTATTTGAGATTTAAACATATTCGATTTACAATTGTATTTGTTATATACGTAGTAGAGTATTATGAAAGTTTAAAAAGATATATATATTTTTTAATAATGTTTTGTACAAGAATCACCTAGGTGACCCGTATAACATCTATTAATTGTGTCATGGCTATGGCTATGTCAATTAGTTACCCTTGAAATTGAATCCAAAAATCATAAATAAAGTTAGTCTTTACTATTCAGATCGGATCCCATACAGGTTCAAGTCCCAAAGTCAGGATTAACCTGACCCTCTGTGATACGTTTGAGTAAGATATTTCTGGCACCGTTCATGTCTCTATCTATTTCTAAACTACAAGAATCACATCTAAAAATCTTGGATCCACCAAGTTTTTTATTGATCGATCCGCAGTTACCGCATGTTTTAGATGTGTATTCTTCGGTATATTCGATAACTTTACAACTCACAAATTCCCTAGCTTTGTGGTGCAAAAACATCCTAAATCTATAATGTGACCATGTCAGCATCATCCTCATGGTCTTCGACCTGATCTTTCTCTTGTTTTTAAGAACCATGTTCAAGGTTTTGAATATTGGTATTAATATGATCTCGTAATTCTCACATAACCAACGAGCAAGTTGATGATGACATTCATTGATCAAGTTCCTAATTCTGACAATGATCCTATACATCTTTATCTTCAATTTGTATCTTTTATGTTTATTTTTTCGTCTGATTGTCAGATCCTTGTCTTTTTGTAATTTATCTTATTTCTTTGATAATCTAAATATCTTGTTGAGATCACCATTACCCCACTCTACAACTCAACCATTAGGATCATAACCAGTCATAAAGGTATGTACACCTGGATCAAGCGATATCACTTTTCCTTTGATACTATCTTGATTATCGCTGACATTTAAAGGAATAGATACACACATGTAAAAATATTCTAATCTGTTCATGGTTATGTTCACGGTATGATTTATTTCTGGTGGTCTTTCTGACATGATCACGGTCTTAAGGAATGCATATTTTCCTCTGTTCCTGTTCCAATCTCTCGCCAGTATTGAGATAGTTTGCGAACGATCTTTTTTTGTTTTGTATTTCATTCTAAAATTATTACTATGTAATTTCTTGCTTGTCTTAAATGTGCTTATTAACTGCCTGATTACATATGACCTCACTTCCCTTGGTGTTTCCTTCACCCATGACAATTCTTCATTTGCAAAACATTCATCATTCAAGTAATGCTTCTTTATAATATTCATATTATTTATCTTATTATCTTGTAACATTTCAAGAACTTTGTTGTAGGTCCACCTCACAGTTCCTATCCATTTTCTTAATTTTTCTCTTTCTTCCGATGTTGGATATATTCATATCTTTCGAGTTTTTAGTTTCTCTTTGTCATTTCCTGTTTTGAGCTGATCTGAGTCCATTGTGTCTTGCCATGAAGATAGTAATGATGGATAATAGATCTTCAGCAAGCTCTCTGGATTCTGTATCATCAACGTTGATGTCCGAATTGAGTACCAAGATCTTTGTATCGTTTTTACCAAAGATCCATTTGACAAGTTCATAAGTGGATCGACAGAGTCGATCCTTCCTGGCAACCACAACTTCATCGATATCTCCTTAAAACGATCGTTCCAGAATGGATATAAAATCTTTACATTTCCAATTGAGACCTGATCCTATGTTCTTGATGAGTTCGTGATCTGGGTATTTCTCTATGAGGTGTTCACATTGTCTGTAGAGATCTTCTTTCTGTTTATCTGAGCTAACTCTTGCATAACAAATCTTTTTCTTTTCATTTACTTTTTCTTGAAATATTTTTTTCAAGTCTGTTACTGAATACAGCCTTTTTCCACCAGACATTTGTTACAGCCAAGGGAGAGACTTTGAATCCACTTAGCCAATTTAACTGAGGGCTGTAATCATTAACAATAATGTTTGTCCTCTCACCACTTGTCAACTTTTGTTCCATGTAATATCGTAATGTTCACCTTACACAATACTCTAACATTTGCTTTCACCAATATCGTAATGTTTGCTTTACACCGTCGCTTAGTATTTGTTATCATTATCACAAAACCTTATTCCAGATTATCATTATTTATATACTCGTAAGTTCGTTTGTTACGTCGTTCGTTTGTAGTATTATCTCTTTTTCGACGTCGTTATTCCTTATCGTCTCTGAAAGTTAAACTCAACGCAAAACAAAGCCTGTTTTATTCTTTATCCGACTTTCCAATTATTATCTTTAACACAGCGCTGATTCGAGGTATGTTCTTTATTTGTTTTCTTAGCACAAGCCAACCTTCGGCTTTTGTTTCACTGATTAAAATTTTTAGCACACACACATTAATTTTTATTTACTGATTATTCTTCGTCGCTCCAATTAATTTTTAATAATTTAATACAGATTTTCGTTTATTCATCCACACAAAGTACTAATTGAACACGGTTTTTCTTTTGTAAATCCACACAATCGGCACCATAAATGTTACAGCCAAGGGAGAGACTTTGAATCCACTTAACCAATTTAACTGAAGGCCGTAATCATTAACAAGAAATGAACTGACTAATTTATTATCACAAACGGCACCAGAAAGTAACAACCAAATATCCTTGTATTGTGTTCCAGACACATTAATAGTACTAATACACTTATTTACTAACCAACTTAGCAAGTTCCAAACTTACTAAGAATCTAAACAAACAACCCGAAAGACAAAAACTCACTAAAACTAAAAAACAAATCTCTAAAACTAAAATACATATAACTCTATATATATACATGAATAAGCTTTAAAAGAATCTATAGTCTATTAATAGTCTAATTAAAGTATACTTTATACTTCGCATAAACTATTAAATGTTACACAAAAGTATATATGAGTCAAGCGAAAATATATTGGTTACACAGCGAAAGTTTAATTGTGAAACTTTTGTTGTGTAACAACGTTCTGATGCTTGATATTTTTCCTTGGTTGTTCAACCGTCTTAATGTTTCAGACGAAACCTCATATGTTTTTCGAATTTCTATAGAAATATTCGTAACGTTTAACAATTTTGTAATTTGTACTAACTGTGTAATTGAATGCATTAGTATGAATGGTACTTCAGATTAAGACCTAAGTATATTGCTTGAAAGTCTTGGCCTATGTCTAGATATAATTAGACTTACAAAAGTGAACCTCTGCCTTCTATTGTACCTTTTTCACAATTACCAAAATCATCTACGTAAGCGTTATTTCTTATTCAGCATTGTAATTCATAATTCTTAATTATAAGCTAATAAGACAAATAAAAAAAGAATAAATATAAAATTATAATAAGAATATTCTCCGAATAGGATTATAAAAATTTTTAATTTGACTTGTCTTCAATAAAAGTGTGACTAACAAGTTTGATCAGTCTTAGTAATATCGAACCCAGTAGAGAGAATTGTGCCAACCATGGCTTAGATAATAGCCTTAAAAGTTTAGTACTTCACAAAAAAAATTATATCAGACATTTTTTGCTAATTTTAATTAACTATTACTACTAGAAGGCTTTTCATTTTGCTCATTCCACGTTCTTGAGAAACATTTTGCCTTGCTCCAAGTTTTTTTAGGGTACAACTATTTTCCGGATTTGTACAAAATTTGACACATATTTCACATATTTCTAAGCTCACTGTGAAAAGATTGGTTTTCAAAATTAAGTGCCTACATATAAATACAAGAATAATTAATTATGAGAATATAATTAATGATCTTATTATAAAAACTCTTCTGTGGTCTTCATTTTCCTTCTAATCAGTAAATAAACGAAGCAATTGTTTATTTTTGATTGCAACTTTTTTGTGACATACATAGGAATACTTTATACATACACGTCACTCTGGTTATATCGATGCCCCCCAAAAAATCAAGAAATTATCCGATAGATACAGATGTCGGCTTAACTAGAGGCATATTAATATTAAGTTATAGCCAGATGTCGGTATATACAGATGTCGATATAACCAGAGTGACGTGTAATGATTGTGGCAGATTAAAATGAAACGAGCGATAATATAAAATAGACAAGCCACCGAAAAATACAAATTTTTGGGGTGCATTTTTTTTAGCATTTTTTTAGGGTTAGGATTAGGGTTTAGAAGCAGGTTTTATAATAAACAAGTATATATGGGTTTTAGAGGGTCAAATAGAAACCCCTCATTTCATTTTAATCCGATTTCATTATGATCTGCGACAATTAATAACACATGATCAAAAGATGGTACGCACGTACGTACGTATAATTGATTATTTAATTAAAAAGCCCACATTAATTGTATAAAAATTCTATTTTTAAACTTCCTGGTTTTCCACCTGGCGGCATTCGGTGGTTGCGTTTAGTTCATTCTAACTCATGCTAGATAATGCCCATTTTTTAAAATGGGCAATTTTGAACATTGAGTCAAATTCGTACGTACGTACGTACGTGATAACTGGAATAGTCGAGTTACCCGGGTTACTCGAGTTATTAAAAATGACCCGTTTTGTGACTTAGTAATAATCTTGTAAACGTGTGAAACGTGTTGTAATCCGGTACTTAAATTTGTAACCCGGTACTTAAATTTTTAGTCGAGTCCCAATGTAATATACATGTATATAATTTATTTTTTGTATTTTTGCTACGTAACAAAAAAAGTTTTGATACGTACGTACGTATCATACTCGAATACTAATATTTTGGTAATACTTACTCTATACAAAGCTTATTCACGATTCAAAGAAAGTATGATTAAAAGTAGCACTGTATATACTGTAACAATATGAATCTGATTATTGGATGAATCAACCAAGGAGGTCCGCCCAGTATTAATGTTCAATAGATTTTTGGCAATAATGCTGCAGTGGCTTATATCATGTGGCCCGAACTTTGGGGTGGCCACCCTGGCTAATTCGTTATTAGGTAATCAATTACGTAGTACGTACGTACTATATCTTCAGTAACTACTGTATAAATATAAAACATGTTAATACTGATACCGTTGTAAAAATTTTGATGCATCATACGTATGTTTATAAAATTACGAAAATTTAAAAAACTCATCTGATGTAACCATCTTTAATTTTATAACCTTTTATACTTTTTAATGGCGTAACTTTTTTGTCGTAACTTTTTTTACGTAGTTAGCTTTTCCGTGTAACCGAGCTTCCGGACTTAATTAATTATGCCCGAAAATCACCAAATTTTAACGAATTTCAGAATTTTACTAATAAACCCGCTAATCAATGTACTAAGTAAAGTTGCTTGGATAGTAATTTTGCTATAATATTAGCTTGTATTAGGATTGTATTAGTGCTTCGCGAGTCCGATCCAAGGTCCTAATTTGAATTGTCGGATTGAATTCCGGAAGCTCGGGTTACACGAAAAAGCAAAATTTTTTGGATATCATTAACCTACTACGTAGTCAATACTAGATAACTGGTTTTTGGAGTATCGTTAAAAAAAAATTATTTTAGCTTAGGAAATGCCTAATAAATTTAAGAGCAAATGTACAACAAAATGCAAAAACACCTTTCCTGATGAATCGCGGTACTGTTCCTGATAGGGCAGAAAAAAAAATCGATTTAAATACCGTTTCTGATAAGGTTCTAAAAAAGAGCCTCTAAGATACTATACTGCTATAGTGAAGTATATGAAAAAAAAGTTAAGATTCGTTTTTAAAACCTCGTCAGGAACAGCATTCAAATAAAATTTTTTAACTCCATCAAGTTCGGTACTGCCGATCCATCAGGAATAGTAATTTGCCAAAAAATAGATCAAAAAAATTTTTAGTGTTCAAGCTTGGATGCTAGACGGTTTAAGGTATAATACTGTATATAATTTGGATTTGGATAGCAAGTATTATTAGTAATATAACTTATATTTAATATTAATAAAATTTTTTAATGAAATTAACGCTGTTTTCAAAATGCACATTGATTGAAGATTATTTACCAAAACAATAGTTATGTGGATTAGGTTTGTATGTACGTACGTACAGTACGTACTTTATAGGCAAAAATTCTATCGTATATAAAATTGGGAATCAATGTGCTAAGTATTCAAGTATTCAAGTATTTACCAAATAAATTTGGAAACAGCGATAATACAGAAAATATATTTAGAATTAAATTTAAGATTAGAAATTAGTTTTAAATTAGAGTAAATATATATATATATATATATATATACGTATATATATACACTGTATATAATTTAATACTAAAAACTTTTTGCTTAAAAGTATAGTTATGCGTGCGTGCGTACGTACGTACGTACGTACAAAATCTAACAATCTAATTGAGTTTTATACGTAGAGTAAAAATTAAAGTTTTTGGTTATTCATGTTGGACATTACATATTCGTGAATATTCATACACATTTGACTTTAGTCGACAACTTTAATAAATTTTATATCACCACCATTTAATATTGTGATGATGGGCTTAGTATACTATACATATCGATATATATATATTTATAATAAAACATTAATTTTTGTTAAATTTGTCCAAAATTCAGATTAAAAAATATATATAGATTGATATATATTTTACTTTATAAATAGACACATTTTTATAATTACATTTTTTGTATACCAAATAACTATAAAAAAGGGTTGATTATATAAAAGTTTATTTACAATAGTGTAATAATTAGGAATGTTAAAGTGTCTGTCCGAACTGATCCGACTCCAGAAGTCGAGTCAGTATCAGACTCAAACTTGAGTTTTTAATCATGTGAAGTTGTACAAATAAAGATAAAACTGGTAAACTTAATTGTTGCATATATTGCATATGTTGACATCGATATGCATATCGCTCTCAATTTGGTAAACATTATATGATATTACTGAAGTCGACTTAAAGTCGATTTTAAAACGACTCGACTCTAACCGACTCGAAAACTGACTAAATCGAGCTGTTTAACATCCCTAGTAATAATATTAGATCATTTTCTTATTTGGAACGGCTTCTTCCGACACTGGGTGCCTCGAAATAATGTGCTTACTCGTAATACAGTAATAACGTACAAGTGCGTTATTTCATATTTTCGAACTTTGTTGCAAATTATGTTTAACCGTTATATTATCAAGAAGAGCACAACAATTTTGAAAAAATAGGTTTAATTTTAGTGTTGACTAAAAAATTTTATAAATGATTTATTGTTTTGCAATTTGAATACCAAGTCAATAAATTTTCTTGTTGATTTACTGATTAATATATGTTTATACTGTATTAAAACTATTTATAATACTGTAGATACATATTAATTAACAAGAAGTAATAAGAAATGGAATTAAATGTTACATTTGATATTAATTTCACTCAATAGAAATTCTAAAATTTATTTAAGTCCAATAGAGACTCCCAGTCCTATCCAATTGTGAAAGAAAAAAGATTATTGTGTAATACCTAATATATATATAATTCAATATTAAAGCTATTATGACAAAGATAGGTTTAGAATTTAAACATAATACGTATACTGTATATACTTACAGTATTCAAAAAACAAATTTAATCAAATTTGTTTAATTCCGTAAGTTCTGTGATGAACCATCTCTCATTTTTTCTTATGTATTCATCCATTAACAAACTGATTTCTTCTTGCATTAATTGATTTCGGACCTCCATTAATATTTGACCTAGTCTATTTTTACCCTTTCCAAATTTACCACCATCACCCCAATATTTATCATTTTCTGTATGCTCAAATAATGGCGCGGTACTAGTTGACAATAATTTGTACTTTAGTTTTTCATGTTGGCGAAATTTTGCAAATAATGCTTTTCGCATAACGTGTTCCTTGAAAATTCCTTTTACGGGATCCTCAGATTCCCAATCATGCCGTTTATGACAATCATTGCGGCGAGCGATAATAAACGCTTCCCTTGCTGACCATGCCTTACGAATAGTTTCACGTAGAAAGTTGCTATGAAATTTTTGTGCTTGAACTATATATAATTAAGTGATCAATAGATAAATCCGACAAAAAAAAGAACTTGAAAATAATAATATAAATCACTTACAATAATTTTCGGTGGATGGCCAATAAAATTCATCGATTCTAATACGAATCCAGAAAAAATTTGTAAATTCATAGTATGGTTCATCCTTGTTGTAAAAATAAACGGGATCGTTATATGAAACTCGAACGGATTGCGCCTAAAAACAAAAAGATCAATAATATTAAACAAAAATTTAACCAAAACTTTTAATTAATTAATTATTTAAAGTGACTTACGAAATCATTTAATAGATTTTGCAATATATCAGAATCGGGATATCTATAGATTACAGCGCTCGGCTCCGACTTCTGTATTTCCCATTTTTCCCGTTTTTCTTTTTCACGATAAAGTAATGTATGAATGACTATCACGTCTAGGACAAGTCGATCACAAACACCTCGAATTTCTCTAATCAAGTGGGAAATATGTTGAGTTTGGTTAGAATTAGATAGTAAAACGATGGCAATTTTCCACGCATTTGCCCAACAATTAATGGCACAATTAAGAACAAATTTGCGTAAGGATTTTATATCGAGGCATTTGAGGTAGGAAATTGACTTGAATACAGGATGAAAACCAAATCTATGGAATTCTTCAACTGGATATTCAATTTTATGTCCAAATGATATAAACAATGCAAGAGATCGAATTGATTCCGAATAAGTAAATCCTGTTTTTCAACAAATAACTATTAGACTATAAATTATAAAATAAGCGGCTCGATAAAAATTTATTACAGCATACCATTATTTTTGCGGGGCATAAGATTATTCTTAATATCACTGGGACCATTATAACTCTTAAGAAGGTCCGAATCTAATAGCTCCCCAAAATTTTCAAATGGTTTGAAATTTTGTTTAGAATTCTTATTCTTTATTTTATTTTCTTTGTTCTGTATCGGGATTAATGGTTTTTCATGGTAGCGGCTAATATTGATATCACATCGATCAAATAGCGTACAACCTTGGCATTCGTAAAGATGTTTAGAATCGTTCGTATCCTGAATTGATGGATCCGATCCTTTGAAAATAGATTCATAAACCCGATAACAACGTTTTACTATAGATGATAATGAATTTTTAAATTTAATAAAAAGGATTGAAAGAATCACCAAGGTATAGAGGATTTTGGCCTAGTGAATGCTTTAATCTAATTTCTTCAATTTGCTCCTCGAAATAGTCATCTTGGGAAGGTCGTGTAGTAGATGTAGTTGGTGTACTGGTGGCATTCGAAACTAGTGGAACGGGTTGATTGGTCGGTTTGTTCTTTCGTTTCTTTGTTTGTTTATGATTTTCATCGCTTTCATCATCTGGCTTTCTTTTTGTAACTTTATCAGTTACTTTAGAGGACTCTATCTTCGTCTCTGACTCCTCGCTTTGTGCGTCGTCAGTATCATCAGGTGCTAAAACTGAATAAATGTTTGGTGATTCGAAATTCTTCATAAAAAGGATTTAAATGAACAATTAAGAGTTTTTAATAATGTAGAAATAGTTATATTTATGCTAGTTTTTGATCACTACTTTTTTTCTACGAAAAAAATGACTATATTGAAGGTATCAAATTACTGAATATGTCGTAATTGAAGAGTCATATTAAATAAAAAAAAAATAGAATTAAAGTTTAACGGATACTTTAATATATTATACTCGCATCATAGTTAAGTTCTGAGTATCTTTTATAAATATATGTAATCTTGAATAGTTTGATTAATATATTACAAAAGTTAATTTTTTTGTTATCCATCATGACTAGTTAAAAATTCACAATTAGTTAAAAAACTTATATAAAAGAGTTTTTTTTTTTTTTCTTATGTTTCATAGACCAAATTTTTTTTTGTCTAAAAAAAAAAAAAAAAATGACCTGCTCGTATTCCAATTGCAATAAGAAAAGCATTGATAATGATATAAATTTATGCGACGTGCATCACAAAGCGTGGAAGAGTACGAATTATTTCGTTTATTATTTTATTTAAGAGAGAGAGAGAGATCAATGTGTTTATTAATAGAATCGTTTTTAGCAACCAACATCCATGGTGAAATCAAGTTAAAAAACTCGGTACTAATTGCAGTGCCAAAAGGCGATGCAGAATTTTCAAAAACAGAGAAAAAATTTTTAAGCGATTGGATAAAACCCAACGCACAAGGTACATAGGTCATATATCTATTCATTGATATTCATATTCATTCTAATTTTTTTGATCAATACAATAAATAGGAGTTAGGGTGGAGGAGATTTATAATATTATCTTATCCCCGACCCTAGTAAATAAATATAAAGAATACAAGAAAAAAATAGAACAAGACCGTGGAGATCCAAACGAAAAAATTTTATACCATGGAACAGATCACTCCTGCGCTATCATAAATAGCAATATAAAAAATATGTTATGCAAGACAGATGATTGCGCAGGATGTGGAATCATAATGAACAATTTCGATATTAAGAAGGTATATACGCAATACGTAGTAAATTTTATTAATTATTTTAAAACTTAGTCATTTAGTTGATTTTTTTGATTTTTATATTTGGAGGTCGGAATTAACCGACAAAACCGATCGTTTCAAAGATTGGGCCAGGGATTATATTTCGCCACTCATTCTTCCAAAGCCCATTATTACGGTCGTGAAGGGGCAAGTAGTATTATATTTTTGTAATTGTAAATTAATTCTTTAATTATTATTATTATTATTATTATTATTATTATTATTATGGGAAATTCTATTTTGACCCGATTACCATTACTGTGTTACTAATACTATTAAATTCTGTCGCGTGATCGACTTTATATCTTACCGAGTAACTTTTAACCCGGATGAAACTAGAATTATTATTATTATTATTATTATTATTGCTTAACATTAGGTATTTAAATGATTAACTGATAAGATGTGATTATATAGGCAAAAGCTTTGCCTACAGACCCCAACAGAACATGCCGCATAATGTTTGTAACCAAGGTATTTATGGATTGATTGAATGTTCTTAGATACATTTATCATTTTATTTCTCAAGCCTTGGTAATTCTATTATAAGGTTATCCTTGGCAACATGTGGCAACCGAGTCAAGTAGATCAAAATGCACACGGTCCTCCAGAAGGCTATGACTCAACGTGGGGCCGAGTTGGTAAGAACGACTCTACTGTGATTATTCTTCACGCACATACATATATACATAAATGATGTAATTTTTTAATTCATCTAGGGCATTGTCCGCATGGTGGCGCTACGT